GAAGCATTTGAGATGGGTTCAAACAGCACCAAACCCAGCATAATAAAATCCAATTTCTGTGGCATTCTTCCCCAGGATGAATTTTGCTTTCAGCCCAAAAGCAGTCTCTTCAACCAGGATTTCAATATTTTGAACACGTTCTGCCATTATAGTCATTTGGCCTCTGAAGCAAAGGGAAAACTGCAAAAGTTTGCAACTCAAAAGTTGAGTTCAAATGCAAATGAATTCATGTCCTGTTTAGGGAAGATTAAAATTATTGGTGGTGTTCATCTTAGAACAGATTACAGGGAAAAGGCTAGAACTGAAAAATGTAATATAGAAAGAAGATAAGGCATTCCCACGCACACAAAAAGTAAAGTATTTCTTCATCCTATCCATGAAGTTTATTTTCACATGGCTTCTCTAAAACCGTGAAGACATGGCTTTTCTTGCAGGCATTGGGTTGGGTTGGTAGATCAACCTGTGATGTGCATGTTTTTATTGGCAGCCTCAATTATGTGTTAAGTTTTTTACATTGTTGGATTTCTTGGGCTTTACACTTTATCTATAATTTTCAATTTTTCTCTCTTGTATACTGCCCAGAGTCACAAACTGTGAGAGGAGGCTTTATAAATCTTTTAAATAAGTACATTTTTGATTATCTGCCATCAAGTCAGTGTTGATTTTTATCAACTACACAGACAGACTTTCAAATAAACAATTAAATAACTTCATAAATATCGATTACATACAAGGCAGACTGGCCCATTCCCATCAAGAGGTCAGGTGGCAAAATGCACAAGCATTGTGTCCAAATATGAATTCTTAGATGATAAACCCAACCCAAACCTGTCCATATTTGTTTTCTTTCTCCTCTTGAGCTGCTTTGACCACAGAGATAAGGAAAGCTCCATTGCAAATTGTTCAGAGAACAAAGACCATGTTTGGGGATCCTGCAATATTTGGCCTGGAGACCGCTACCTTCCTAGGAAAGCTGGAGGAGCAGCTGCTACTTTGCTTGGTTTAAGAACCAGCTGTGCTTCTGCAACATTAGCCACAGCTACATCAGAGCTAGCAGTCTTCAAACTTGTGGGATCTACTTTTTGTAAAAAAAAAGAAAGAAGAATACTGAGTTCCATCAGCCAAAGGACACAGCTGGATACAAAAATGATGGCTCAGGGAACAGAGCCTCACACTTAATGAATCTCATGAGTCATGTGTAAGGATGAGCCTCATTCTCAAGTACAAAGCTGTATCTGATTGCCAACACAAAAGTCTAAAACTGATCATAACCCTTTAAAAAGCATCCAACATATATTTATATTCTCAATGATAATTATGGCAAATGCATCCACAGCTGGATACAAAAATGATGGCTCAGGGAACAGAGCCTCACACTTAATGAATCTCATGAGTCATGTGTAAGGATGAGCCTCATTCTCAAGTACAAAGCTGTATCTGATTGCCAACACAAAAGTCTAAAACTGATCATAACCCTTTAAAAAGCATCCAACATATATTTATATTCTCAATGATAATTATGGCAAATGCATCACACTTACACCTCTAGGAAGGAGCAAACTGTTTTATCATTTTTAAGCATCAAGACCCATTTTATAGGTGGATGACTTTAACACTCAGGTACATGTAATTTGGCCACAGAACAAGAATAAATTTATGGTACTTGTCACTGCTGTATTAAAGAAGTCTTGCCAAAAGGTGCTTCAGAGCATACAAAGTGTGAATGCAGTACAGTATCTATTTGCAACTCCTTAAACTAAACATATTTTTTCCCAGGATTGCAAAGCAACTGCTACATGATCCCAGGAAAGTGCATGGTTACTTTAAAGAGTTACAGAAAAGCAACTCCCAGTTGGCATCTCCAGGGGGTCCAAAGCACCATTTTGCCTTCAAATCCAAAACACTGTACAGTCCTGCTAAACCCCACTGGGAACCGCTTGCATATCTAGCAATCAAATGGCTTCGTACCAGACAAAGGGGCTAGGATTGCCATAGGCTGGAAAGTAAAGGATCAAGAAGGAGGGAAAGAAAGATATGCAACAAGCAGCAAAGTTGTCCAAGTAATTTAATTTCGAGGTTGAAACATTCCATCCCTGAAATAAAGGTTAGTATAGCCCATTTTGAGATCAGATCACTTCTGTTGAGGTAGGGGCAGAACATTCGGGGTTAGAATCTTTTGCACACCTCTAAAACATGGCTGTGCTAGCTAGCTAGCTAGCTAGCTATTTATTTATTTATTTATTTAAATCTATGTAGCCATCCATCTCACTTAGGTGCCTCTGGGCAGCTCAAAAGTTAAAACAACAACCTCATATAAATAAATTAAAACAATTAACCAAAAACATAAAAGCACAGAAAGTCTCAACCTACAATTCATGGACAATACAACCATCTTCAGCCTCTCCATGTCCATGGCACTGCTGTCTCTTCAGGGACTTCCTAAAGGCCAGCAAGGTTAGGGCCAATCTAACCTCAGGGGGGATGATGTTCCAGAGGCAGGTGTCACGACAGAAAAGGTTCTCCTCCTGGGTCCCATCAGATGGCTCTCTTTTGTAGATGGGACCCGCAACATGCCCCTTCTGCTGTAGCTGATGTGATGGGTAAATGTAACAGAGGAGAGGTGGTCCCTCAAATAACTCAGCCCCATGCCATAAGTTGCAAGACTTGGAAGCACTGGGGCAAAGGGAAAAATCCAAAGGGATGGGGGTCAGAGCAGAGATCAGCAACTGGGAGCAGTACACATATATCAAGAGAATTGGATCCCATATTTCATTTTATGCCTAAACTTCCACAGATGTATCCTTACTCTATATTAATAAATTTGTAACAGCAGATGTTCCCAACTAAGCCAAAAGGATTGGCTATTCTTTGAATACCTTTGATTGGGGCAGAAAACAGAAACAGAGTGAGCTATCAGTGACTCTAACCCACCATATAGGTATTTTTATGTATTTAACTTGTATGGTACCCTTCAAAACAAATTTTTCCTGGGGCAGCTTACAATACTCTAAAAACGTGATTTAATTCTTTGTAAAGCTAAAAAGTACAATATATTAAACATGCTGGTCCTAATTCTCATTCTACTTCATTGCATCAATGCATTTTACTCTATGCCCACGTCCAGCACCTACCTCATATGTACTGGTAAGTCGCAGGCGATAGAAGATTGGAATGAAGACGTGAGCTGGGATGAGAAGCCCCAGGAAATAGGAGCAACCAAGGAACCAGTACTCGGTCCCAAAGCGATAGATTTCAGAGGGGACGCCGAGAATGGCCACAGCTGACTGGAAAGTGGCAAGCAATGAAAAAGCCACAGGTAAGAAGGTCATGCTACGGTTGGCCAGCAGAAATTCTTGGACAGTGCGCTGCTTCCCACCAGTCAGTGCATAGTACAGTCCTATCCCTGCCGAGAAGACTAGCAGCAGCACAAAAATAGCATAGTCTGCCACAGTAAACTTCATTGTTGATATGGTACAACTGCAGACACCTTTCGGAAAAGTACTGGCTGCTGGAAATTGTTGGAGAGTCCAGCTGTGCTGCTACTATCTCTTGTTCATAACGTAGAAGCACCCATCATGGGCAGAACGGCTAAGCTGAATTCTACCAGGGCACCGGGCTCTCTTTTGTCCACCACTGGCAACGCAGACAGCAGCTCATCACCAAAGTGCCAAGCAAGTACTTCACATCCAGGAGCCTGCTGAGATGGCCATGACCAAGAACAGCCAATCTGGAAGAGAGAGAAGAAAATGCAAGTGAGCAGAACGTCAGAACATTCCATGTCCAAGGACACTTTCCCTTCAAAATCCAACAAAAGCTCAGCCTATGGAGTTTTCTGACCTTCACTCAGTCATCTCAGAGTCTCAAGGTCCAGGACTGAGCAAGGAAAGTTTTCTTGACCCAGCAAGTGTTGACAGGCTTCCAAGCAGGGCCACCAGCTGTAACCCCTTCAGGTCAAAAGCATACTTGGCCCTTTGCACAAAGGCCTATCCATCTCCACACAGCAGAGGCAGGGTGGAGTTTGAGAACGTGCACACCAGGAGTGAAGGAGCAGAGCAAAGCCAAACTACTCAGTCTGAGCAAGCCAAAAGCAGCAGCCAGAAGAGTCAGTGGGAGATACATTCAACAAATCTTTCCCCATAAAGTATGCCAGAACACACACCAAAGCAGCCAACTATGACACTAGCAACCCAGATCCTGAAACAAAGACCTCAGTAGAGCAATTAATGGTCAACTGGTATATTTGTTGTACTATTTAGCTTGCAAGTGTGAGGTAGCCTGTATTGAGGTTATAACAGGGAGGAGCATATCAAATCAAGACTCCCTGCCCTAGAATGTTCTCGTTCTCTCTCTCTCTCTCTCTCTC